TTCCCATCTGCTTCGTTGGTCCATCTTTTTATAGTCCTTACTCCAGGCTTGGCAGATTCAAATTTCTGCCTGTAAGTTGGGAGAAGATGAAACAGACAGTAATTAGATAGTACTTGCTTTTCAAACAAAACAATAAATGATGCAATCTGTTGCATCATGTTATTCCTAGAAGACATGGATGATGCAATCATAATGAAGATTACATCACTCTGCTGAACAAATTGCCCTATATCAGATCTAGAATTCATCAAGGGTACACAACACAACTCCTGGGAAAAGAGTTTACTTCCAACTTCCATCCATACCTGTAGTTGTAAATAAGCCTGATGGACTTGATGAGCATGGACCGGGTATTTAATTAGGTTTGAAGCCAGAGGTGGACAAAGTACACACCTTCCTTACTTCCATTACTCTCTTACAAGTAAAAGTTGTAAAGACCAATTTTTACTGAAGTAAAAGTACATAAATACTCGTTTTAAAAGTACATGGCAAGATCAGATGACAAACAGGGAATCACATGACAGACACAGAACATGGCATGAACAAACCAAAATGTGACAGAGACTAGACCAAATCATGACATAGTCAAGACAAAAAATAGCTGGATTTATAAAAATGTCCATGTTCAAAAGTTTAAATACCTTTGATTCTTACTGTGTCATTACCTGATTAATCCAGTCACACAACTATTTATTTAGCATATTCTTAACCCTTTCCAACAATGACTGGATATGATTTTGAAGGTGGGTCAATATTCCCTAAAAAAAATGATGTTGAAATTACTTTGAAACAATTTTCACTGAGAAAGACCGAAGGTGGAAATGAAATAATATTTTTTTTGCCATGTAAAGGAGTACTCACAAAGTCTCAAAAGTATTTAAGTTGTTTTTAGTAAAGTACATATTGCACACAATAATTAAACTTAATAATTAACTGATTCTGAAGTGTTCTGAAGACTGCTATTCCTCGTTTTGCCATTTATCCATATCAAAGTTTTTTTTTTTACGTTGCTTAAAACAAAGAATCGAACCTCAAACAAACTGTGCTCCAATACTAGTAAAGACAGATAAATGTTAACAGCATTTTATCAAACATTTATTTCTCAGCCAAGCATGTTCTCTCTCTCTATGTAAAAAAATAGAAACAACTCAATATAATGACGCTATTGTTCATTTGTCTCCCAACGGAAACAGGCTGATTGTCTATCAATCTGACAGTGTCCTCCTCAGTCCCCTGACAGTCTCCCTCAGACAGTTTGCTCTAAAAACGTTGCCAATGTCTCTTTGATAAATTTAAGCTTAAGATGCTTTTGGGAAAGGCAGCCCTGCTGTTAATCTAGTTTAACATTGTTTAGCAATCATTGATTTTAAGCATTTGCTATTGAATCAACCAAAGCGACAGTCGCATATCTCTGGCAGAAATAATAACCACCCCAAATTCTTAGCGCAGAATTTAACACAACGCTGAGGGACTTTCAACAAAATAATTGCTAAAAGTGAAACTTTCACTCATAAATGAAAATGTGTTTATTAATAATAGTAAATGCAGTAACTTTCAGACTTTATAACATTTAGATTATGTATCAGAGGCCAGTGACAAACATCTCAAACAGAATCATACTTTATCAGCGTTAAAACACACAAGCAAACAATATATTTATTCAAAGATTATAAGTGGAAAAAAATACACCACAGCAAGACAAGTGGCTTAATCAAAATTGGAAGTTTGGTCCTTGGCAGCTTATTTTGGCCAAGAACCGCCCACTCAGACAGGAAGAGGCCAACTGATTGACACGTTTGTTTTATATGTGCCCTTTGGGCTTGGATTATTTGAAATGGATAATATAATAATAATAATAATAAACTGAACATGTATGAGGCTCTGCTCACTGCATACAGAGGGGAAAAGACCCCAAGATATTGTGACCATGATTTATTAATTAGTTGTTTAGCTACGTTGTAATAATTCATTTGCCTGTTTTTATGAAACGAGAGAACACATTTTTACAACGTGGTCACAATGTAACTTAGTGTAGCAACGGATGAACGGAAACTAAATAAAGCATCATAATTTGTGGGAACGAATTGTTAATTCATGGCCATTCTGACGCTCGTCATGTGTGGTGCTCCATAAAATGAAATTTCCATCAATTGCGGCACAAAAACACCTGAAAATAGCACAAAATGTGATGTCTGAAGTTCCATCATGAACATAATTCAGAAAACACATCTGAATGTAGTTCTTCTCATGGATATATAGTTAAAGCAGCACTATGCAGCATTTCCGTTTTTGTCAAACTGTGACCCCTAGAGTCGCTGTGGAGTACTTGTACTGTCGTAAATAGCAGTCATGCAGAGATGTGTCTGCACTCAAGGCCTGATCCTCTCCCCCTGTATACCGGTACCTGTTCAGTAGGATGGAAGCTGTAACGAGTGGAAATAAGGTGTGGCCCCTTTAAGAGCTGCACCCTATTGTACTGTCGGCAGTCTGTATTGTATACGCCTCGAACACCGCATGTATACGGCGCCAGGTTCTTTCTGTTTAACGTTTATTTTAGCAGATCTTTCCTCCCGTAAAGCAATTTGTTGTATCGCGAGACCTGATATCACGCGACACTTCCTTTTCCGCTCAGAGGCAACTGAGGGCAATGAAGCTATTCAGGTAAGGTAAAAAACTGCACTGTGATGCTTTAACTTGCTAATTTGCTTCAAGCCAAACCCTGATGTAATTAACCTTGTCAAATCTAGGTATTAGTTCTTCCTCATTGTATCAACTCTTAACATGAACAGCTCAGATTGTAAAAAAATCTATGTGCCTTTATTTCCAAAAGTTGCTAAACACCTGCCAATCCGATCAGAACTAGAGATGTTATTTTTGTGTGCAATAAGCATCAGCCGGTCACTGAGCGGACTGTGGGTGATCCATGGGCCTGCCGTCCGAGACTGAGACGAGATCCATTGCTGCTTATCCCACTAAATAATCCCATTGAATTATTTACAAAAAGAATCTATTTTCATGCTGGAGGTCTGTGGGTGCAAATATTCACCTTGGCTAGCGAATGGTGAATTAAATGTCTTTTCTCTGTCCAGTGGTCTGGCTTTAAACACACAAACACACGCACACACACACACAGAGAGATAAATGCTTTCTCTCTGAGGCTGGAAGTCAGCCAAACTGGAGGATTACAAGCTAAATTTCCATCACAGAGTGTTTCATCCATCACGACAGCACTCCAGCAGTCATTGAGAAAGGAGAAGGCAGAACATTGCACAGCACGACTTCTCAGATGAGAGGACGTCCCTTATCCCCTCATATCCACTGCCTTTGTGAGTATCCGGACACATAGCGTACATCACCTCCCCCTGTTGATGTCTTTGGTCAGGGTGTTGGTGGTGGGATTAGATGCCGGGCTTGTTTGGGATTGACCGAGCCGTTGTCTGACCAGGGTCCGCTGGAGCTCGGCTCGCCTGGCAAGGGCGGCCCTGAGTTGGCCGCGAAACTCCTCGATCCTCCCGTGCAGCTCCAGCAGCTCCTCTTCCCACGGCGTTGACTGTCCTGAGCAGGCCGGGGGGGAGAGCACCAGGCTAAGACCGAGGTTAGGTCCGCCATTGGAACACAACTGGGTAGGCGGGCTTCCCACCAACCCCCTACGGCCCCTTTCTGGCCCAGGGGGTGGAGCTTGGAGCTGGTAGCTGTTGAGAGTCTCCAGGTTAAAGTGGACATGCTTGTTATGTTCTTTGGCCTCTCGACCAGCCTTGACACTCTGATTGTTCCACTTGGTTGTAGAAGTGGAAGGGGAAGTGGAGGAGTTGGAGGGCGGAGGAGAAGAAGTGGAGGATGGCAGGCGGTGGAGATTACAGTTCTCTGACAAGCACAAGGTGGGACTGAGAGGAAAACACAGCGCCAATCAGTTTTACAAGATGCAGAGACACAGCACATCACAAACAGACTCCCCACAATCAATGGAAACACGGAGCCTCTTCAATATGCCATTAATGAAACAGTATCCAGTCGCTTTTACTGGAGAGGCGAATATTGATTTTTTTCCTTTGTTTTCTAGCATCTGTTTTGTGGGTATTTTTGTAACATAAATTACACTAATTGCACACATTAGTTCAAAGCTCAAAGGCACTACTATTTTCTTATACACAGTATGCAAATGATAATGTGCAGTCAACTGGCCATTACTGCAAAATTAAGGGCGATTAGGTAACCTATTATGACTGCCTAACTGTACATTATTCAACGGCTTCTTACCAAATAAATAAATATATAAATGGTCATGAAACATTGATTTGAATACAATTATTTTATAATGTAATTAGAAAAAGTCCATTGAATGATCTGAGAGACATACTGTAAGTAGCACAGCTACATATGCTGGAAATTGGTTGCCTGGAGCAATGAACAATTATACAGTTTAGTGGTCATTATACAAAATATTTTACCTTTAACTAACCAATCATAATTGGCCCATTCCAGAATTCCAGCGAGCCATATAATAAATTGCTGTAATTTGAGTACTGGTAATAGTACTGGTGTAGATTTCAATGAGGAGAATTACTTTATTTTGTTACGCAATAATCATAACTTACCATCTGCCACTGCTCTCAACCTCTGATTTCCTCTCTTCATCACAACCCATATTCAATGCACGGTGGATTTTCTGTACAAATAACAAAAAGGCCACTGAACAATACTCAATGAAGAATATACTGTCTGTATATAATCAAATACAATATGCTTACTACATAGGCTACAGACTTTCAGCTTCCTAACACTAGAGGGAGCAGATGTCCTGTTTCATGAAAGGAACATCCCTTGTAACTTGGATAAGAGCATATATAACGGTATATATATATTTTTTTATTTTCAAATTTACTAATTTAAAATAATGACTAATTACACAAAAATACAGCAAGTAAAATGAGTTTATTTTATTTAATTTATTTTTATTTGTTTATTGTGTTGTAGCATATGGTGGCACACACTCACCTGACTGGTGTGGAGCCAGTATTTGAATCTCTGCTGGCGACGGAGTTGAGGCAGAATGAATCTGAAGAAAGTGTGTTCCCCCAGCAGAGTGAGTAAAGCACCTGCAACCCCCACACACAACAGCACGAACAGCCCCGAGAAATGCTGGATTCCCATCTGCAGAGTCTGCGCACACATGCACAATAAGAAATAAAAACACAAGTGCAGAAGAAAGGATCACATATTGCAGTTCTGGTTCTGGGCACATTTCCCCCAGAGGGTTTATCGTTTTTTGAAAATAAAATCCACAAACACAATCCAAAAGAATAGCAGAAAGTCCACCTGTAATCACGGGATTCTGTAAAACTGGTGATTTTATATATGTATATGTAGTTTCTGCTGATTTTTTCTTTCTTTTTTTGTGAGCAACCTATGAAACAGCAATATTTAATTTCATGTTACAGTAGATCCTTACCAGTGCTCTTTTTTTCTTCATTAAAGGGATCGTTCACTTTGAAATGAATTTTTACCTTTCACTGTGAAGATCTAAACATATTTAGATATACAGGGAATCACAATGGAAGATGATTTCGATATATCAACAGACAACGTTGATTTTTTTCGCAACCGCAATAGAGATCACTTCCGGTGTTTGCACAGACCGAAACGCCCGCGCCCTCAGATCACTTGGACGTGGCTGTGGTTACAAGAGGTAAAAACGATATAAATACTGTTAATTTTCTCACACAAACCGCTCGTTTTGTGTCTCAGGCCATCAATGTGTACTTACAATAACGAGTCATTAAATCATGTTTAATTTGGACTTCTCTGTGCATGCTCTTTGAGGTGGTGACCATAGACCTGCATTATATAACTGACAGACAAGAACGTTTTGACCTAAAAATATCAAAATTGAAACTACTGCGGAAACAAAGACAGCTACATCTTGGATGCCCTTGAGGTAAGCTAAATCATACCAAAAATTAATTTCAAAGTGAACTATCCCTTTAAATGTGAATCCTAGTGGTTAGCTCTCTCCAGGTATATTTTAGACCTCCCTGTGACTGTCCCATCATTATTTTTCCCTCGGGTGTTGGAAGCCCCAGTATACACAAAGGAATCCATCATTCCCCATGTAATGGCTTTGATCTGGAGGGAGGACTCCTGCTGACTAGAGAACTAATCACAATTTTATAAAGTATAGTCGTTATAATTGAAATTAAAGTCATGCGGATTTGGAATAGCTGAAAAGGGGAAAATATTTCACTTCCTGTCCCTCATACAGTATGTGTGGGAGCATGCGTGCAAAATGAGACACTTATTGGTCATCTAACATTGCACACACAGAGAGACTGCAGTCCCATGTTTAGTTCATCACAGTCCTGTCACTTCTGTTGTGAGTGTGTTCATTCTCTGCACATAACAGGATTGGCTCTAGCCCTTTATCATGATGTCAGTTCCCAAGAGAGTGTTACAGAATGGGATTGTGGCTAAATGGACATGCATACATATGCATACGTGCCATTGCCACTGACCAGATGAAGTGCTCACTGCACTTCATGTTGGCTGCTCTGATTTCATTATAATAATGCGGTAGCGGTATACAATAGGGTTTTATCTTTTAAGATTTTGCCAACCTCTGCTGTGCACCTTCTATAAGACTGCTGTGGCTAGTGCTCTCTTCTTTGGTGTCGTGTGCTGGGGGTGGGCACACACACATCTGACAGGAACAGACTAAACTGATTAAAAAGGCAAGCTCCATCATTGGCATCACACAGGACTGGGATGGAGGAGGTGAGGATGTTGAGAAAAATAATCTATAACATGAACAAGGATATGCACCTACTACATGCCTTAAAGGTGTTACGGCAGAGCACATTCAGTGGCAGGATGATTCCACCAAAATATAAAACTGAACGGCATTGTAAGTCGTTCCTGCCTGCTGCTATTAGGCCATCTTTTAAGATTAGTTATGGATTTAATGTTAATGTTAATACTAGAGATCTAATAAGAGATCTAATAACAGAAATAATATATTTTACAAAACAAAAATGTATATATAGTAGTCTAAATTTATATTAAATGAAATTACATAAATTTTAGAGTTTTTTAGGATTCAAGTTCATCTTTATACAGTATGTAATTTCATTATTACTTCTATTGTCTGGTTAAAGTGTACTGCTGAACATACCGACAAGTAGTTATAGTAAACTAAAATATTTAAGTAAACCTTAATTTAATTTCGATTGAAACGTGTGTGTCATGTATGTTCATTTATTTGTAATTACAAACTGTAATGATGAATCTGTAATTTAGTACATTTTAAATATATTAGCCTTAAATGTAGTATTGGACAGCACACTACAACAAAATTGTTAACTAGTAGCCTAATCACATGCTATAGTACAGTATAAAACATTAAAATATGGTACTTTAAAGCATGGCAAAAGATTATTACAACATAATGATTTGAAATAAACTTTAAAGTAAAATTAATTTGACATCACTAGAAAGTGCACTTCTTAAAGATGAGACCACTTTTATGACTATGTTTCTTAAGCACACTTAAATGGTCTTTTATTTATTACTATATTATCTGCAAGGCCATTTGTTAAAAGATTTAATACAATTAAATGCACTTATTTTTCAAAAGGGGATACATAATCCATGAACTCTTTCCCTGCCATTGACGGAATTTTCCATCATTTATGAGACAATGCATTGGTGTATAATGCGACTTTCTCCGTTTTTTGTTGTTGTTCAAATTGTTGCTTTGTTTAAGCACATTCAAGTGTTGATAATTAAAAAATGCATGAATAAACTCGTTTCTTTTATTTTTAAAGCAGAGGTTCTTTTCTTTATATTGATATTTTACATATTCAAATATTTATACAACAAAATTCTGGGCCATGAAAATTTTGTGAAAATTATCAAAAATGCTGGAGGTGGCTGGCAATTTTTTTTTATGCTTTAATGCTTTAAAACAATGTAATACCTACATAGTCCTGCTAATATTAAAAAGTAACAATTCTCCCACATAAAGCTTTGAAGTTACTTTTTTAGACAAAAATATTTATGACTTTGGCTCTATCCACTGTTGGCCCCAATACAGAGTGTTTCAAATATGAACAACAAATATTATTTAGGTACTGGCATTTTGTTTATTCATAATTTATTTATTTTGTGATCATGCCAGATGCAGCACTTAATGTTGGATTGTTGCTTTAAATTCCCCATCGCTTTCATGCCCGCATCTTTGTATCTGGCTACGAACCAAGAAGAATCCTGAGTAATTTAATTAAGACTGCATTACGTTGAGGAAACAAAATGCTGCTTTTTGCATTTGAAGCTCCTTCTATAAACAGCTCTAGAATAAACATTCAAAGAGGACAACTGACTGCGAGGACCCCCGCAGTCGATCCTGTCCGCTTGTTTGCAGAATTTATTGCACAGCGAAGTAGTGGTTTTACAACATTGTGTCTGTGGTGACAGGACAGCTTGGCTCCAGTGCAAGAGAGAGGGAGAGCGTGAGATGAGTTCCAGCTGGCACAGGGGCCGAAAACAAATGTCATTGCTGGTGCTCATGAAGTCCCCCATTCATAACCACAGCTAAGGTAATGAAGCCAGACTATACAAGACAATGTCTTACAGGAGTGCTACAACTCCTGGGAGGTTATTGACAGAGACTCCATTGATGGAGTGTGCTGGCTGCTGCTACTCAGAGCCTCAGGTGTGTGGGGCGGTACGGCTGACACGGAGCCCTTGGGAATGAAAATGGATTGTGGTGGGTCGGTGTCGCTCTGACAGAACGGCTATTAAACTGCAGGAGACAGTAATTCCAAACAAAAGGATTTTTCAGAGGGAAAAGAGCCATAGAGGAATAGAGGATGTATTCATAGAGGAACTTCAAGGGCAGAAGCCGCTCACTCGCCTATATGAAACGAGAACACACACGCACACATATACTGTTGTACCGCACACTCTCAGCCTTTCTTTTTTGATGGCTCACCTCTGTCACAGCAAAAACCCTCTTCCCACAGGGAACCACTTTATACCACTTGTCGTGCAGCATGTCCATGTAACCGTCAGACTTGTAGCGGCTGACGTATTCAGACACATTTCGGGTGAGAGGAGAGTTCTGGGGTAGCCCGATCCCGTAACCTGAGAGGATAAAGAATTGCAAAACAACAATTTACACTCACAGCTCTGCACAGCTTCACAGGATTTTGTTAAAGAGACAACATTCACATTCTAGAGTGAACTGATACCTCTATTAATCATTGTTAGAGAGGCTTGGGAAGGAACAATCATGATATTTTAGTCATCACATGAAAATAAGTGCACTACTTTAAAGCATATCAGAAGATTATAAAACAATAGAGTTTTTTATGTAAAACTTTAAATTAAGTGTACAATTACTAAGTGTACTAAAGGGTGAAACAGTCATGAAAGTGTACTTTAAGTATAAGCTTACTGTAATGTAATTAATATGAGATCTTTAATACATAGAGCAGCTAAATCTTGAACCCCAGGGGATTTTTTTGTCTGCTGGCAAAAAGAGAATGCGACAAAGCTCATAAGAAAACGAGAATCAAAATTGGAACTGGGGGATTTGAACTGTTGTAAAAGTGATGCAGAGATGCCGTTTATTATATAGGTGAGTAAGGTATTTTATTGAACAGATAAATTGCCATATGCAGCTCTCTAAACGAGTTCATTGTAAAACATTCATTATGGTTGTTGTAATTTATTATTTAAGAATGTACTGTATTCATTAATGGGTATAGGTACAGTGATATTTTCAACCAGTCATCTTAAGATCCTTTCTATCTAAACTGGTCATATCTCTTAAGCCCAGTAGTGAATGTTTTCTGAACAGTAGGATAACCATATTCATCCGCAGTCACATAAAGCCGAAGCACAGCCAAAACAATGTTCTTCCGCCAATGCGTTTTTTTTTTTTTTTTAAAGAGTACTAAACCCTAAACCAACTTTTTTTAGTTAATGATCTGTAAGAATGGATCTTTATTAATACCAGTCATTGATTTGAGTAATTTTTTTTGACATTTGTGTATAAAGTGTTTTATTTCTACAATATATGGTGTAAAAATGTCTTAGTGCTGCCCTCTTCAGGTTGAACAATGGTTACTGCAGTTGAATTTTCCCATTGGATGTTTGAGCAGATT